AACCAACAAAAGACTGCCCTTGCGTTCCCTCTGTTAAAGTCTGGAGCACTGAGCTGGTGGAAGCTACTAGCTAACACGATGCCCAAGGGAGAAGCAAACAAGATGTCTTGGGAAGATTTCCTAGTGCAATTAAAGATGCAATACTGCTCTGAGCATGATCTTCTGGAGATCAACAATGAATTCAAGAATCTGAAGAAGGGGAGGATGAGTGTCACCGAGTATGCTGCAAGTTTTACAGAGAAGATCAAGCTCGTTCCTTATCTAGTTCCAACTGAGCTCTCCAAGGTCAACAAGTTTGCCCATAGATTACCAGCGGACTTTTGTCCAATGGTCAAGCAAACAACCACTCTTAAAGACGCTATCTGGGATGCTAAGAATGTGGAGACATAGATAAGAGAAAAGGGTCTGGAGAGAGTTGAAGTTGGCGAGAAAAGGAAGCATGAAGAATCTTCAAGGTCCAAAAAGGAGAGGAAATTGCCGAATTCTGGAGGAGAAGGATGTGAAGCAAGATGGTGTGAGAAGTGAAAAAAGAATCACTTCGGAAGATGCGATAGGGAAGTGACGTGCTATAAGTGTGGTAGGACCAGTCACTATTCCAGAGATCGTACATTCGACAACCAGAAGTGCTACGAATGTGGAAATGATGGGCATATTTCGAAGAACTGTCCAAAGAAGAACGAAGCCGCAAGGCAAAATGCGCCACTAAAGCCAAAAGAAGAGCATTCCAAACGATCCTTGACGAAGTAGATGGTAATGTAAGGAATCAGGAGTGAGGATGGATATCCGAGGATCAATTTATGAAGAATCCAAGCGGATAGTATCAGGAGGTGTAGCCTATTAGAGGCATAGTGTAGGTTTAACTTGAACACCTATGTAATCATTTCAAGGAATAATATAAAACCTTCGTTTTGTTATCTGATGTGTCAATTTGTTATGTAATTTTTTTATGGTTAATTGGAAAACTGCGAGACAATACTTGGGACGAGTATGAGTAGGTGTGAAAGGTAGTAGATGCATATACTACCGGAAGCATAGGACTCACGCTTGCATCAGGGAAAGTCACAAGGTTACCAAGAAGCTAGTAATTGAATCCATTTTATTCAAGTATGTCGTTACTACTTTTTCGGTAATGACTAAGAAGATGATTGTTATTCCGAACCTAGTGGTCATATCAAATTGAGTCTGACTAAGAAGAGTATGTTATATGGTTCAGAGAACCAAGTCTGATGTAGCATCTAACATAAGATTGAAGCTAGAAGGGAAAGACAATCAAAGCAATCACTAGAGGTATCGTGATAGTTGCTTGTAGCTAGGAATACTACCTTCTAAGATGTGATTATATCACATTAGAACATGAAGGAAGGTATAGTCTGTTCTAGAATTTGACTCTAAGAGACTTGAGTCTAAGCAGTGCAACCTACATTGATAGGTCATTAGAATATGACACATCAATCCATTGTAGTAATAAAAGAACTTATCTTAAGTTTTTTAAGAAGAAGGAGGAGTCTCGAATAAGGATCAAGATTATGACTTGTAAGTCATATTTTGGAGTCTAACGTGAGAGAGGGAGCAGGTGCAAGATCGAGCACCGCCTGCAGTCAGGGAGTCCAAGAGTTAAATACTCGTTCAAAGCGACATAGAAGTTACAGTTATTACCTAGGATGAAGAGATAACATAAGGAGTCATTATACAACCCTGTTTTGTTGATGATTCCGGGACATAAGGGAGATAATTGTAACGCCCGTAGATCCGGGCTAGTCACTTTAGAGACAATGAGCATCAAAAATGACTTTTTGATAGAACATTACTAAGAATAAATAATCTTAACCAAGTTATAGTATATGTCACAAAGGTTATGTACATATAAAGAACACCGAAATACGAGTTATAATGAAAAAGTTATGACCAGTCGAAGTTTTACGACAAAATCGGCGCGACACCGGGAATCGTAAAAAGTGAATTTACGACAAAATACTTTCTAGCCTTAGCGATCTAGACGAAAGTCATAGTATATGTGAAAATGAGAGCGTACATAAAAGGAACGTTCAAATCTGACTTCGTATGAGGAAGTGATGATTTTTCTAAGATTTAGCATAGTAGTGCATAGCCCGAAATTTGAATTTTAGATCGATCGATTTTCAACCAAAATAATTTAAACGAGAAATGAAGATATCATTAATAGGATTTAAACGATAAAAAGACAGTGAAAACGGAGCTCGTATGCGAAAGATATGGACGAAGCTTAGTCTCTGCTTTACGAGCGCGGTGAATTCGATACAGTTTTGTAAATCTAAGAGTACTCGTAAATACCAACGCGTGGATATAAAGAACGTCGAAAACTAAGCTCGTATGTCAAATATATGGACAAAACTTAGTCTTTACTCTTCAAGCGCGGCGAATTCGAATACAGTTTTGTAAATCTGAGCTACAATGAGAATTAGCCGACGGGGTCTAAATGAAAGTTGTAGTACTTGTAAATACCAATGTTTTGATATAAATAACGTAGAAAACAGAGCTCATACATGGAAGATATGGACGAAGCTTAGGGGATACTCTATGATAAAATCCCTATAAATAACAGATGAACTCTTCATAGTTTCTTCCCACGATAAGCCTTTCTTTCTCTCTCTAACTTCTCTCTAGCCTCCCTAAACCCCTCCCAAGTCTAGGAAACCTCCCTAGTACGAGAAGGAAACCCCGGAGCGCCCGACGGCTCTGAGAAGAAGAGCTTTCGGCTCGGAAACGTTGCTCCAACAAAGCACGTTTTTTTTTCTTTTCTTTTTTTTTTTAATAAAAACCCACTGTAAGTGAGCTACGCTACACTATTTCTAATATAGCTTTTATTTAAAATATAGTAATGTTATTAGGAACTTATAATAATTATTTGGGCTATTATTATAAGTTATATAAGGGTCGTTATAATATCTTTTTAACCACTCGCGGTACGGGGAATTTAGTTTAAAGGGCCGCATAGGGTTGTTGGATTTTAGAAGTGCTATATGCCAAAATGGTCTTGCCATCCGGTGTTTTATGTCTGGCCCCCATCTGTACATAGTGGTTGGAAAATATTATTTAAATGCTTATAATAATAATAATAATAATAATAATAATAATCATAATAATAATCATAATAATAATAATAATAATAATAATAATAATAATAATAATAATAATAATAATAATAATAATAATAATTAGTCACGGTAAATAATAGACTAAAATCTAGTGGTGATAATACTAGGTTTCGTTGAAGTAAATTGTATTGTTAAGAAGCGAAACGTTGTCCGAGTTTGGAATCATCACTTTAACAAGTGAGTGCATAGTCCCTTTCATATTACACATAGATATGAAGTATTTTATATAAATTACGTGCCATGTGTGCATATTATCTGGATACTTGCTGTCTATGCTGGATGAATGATTTTATACATGTTTTAAATTATTTAAACTATATAATTATTTTATATCTACAAATATGTTGGGATAAAACATGGGTAGATGAAATAGTTGATGTGTGATAAAATAAAATGATGAGAGATAGGTGATGATAATTAGGTGAGGACAGATAGGTGATGATGAATCGGTGATGTGGGATGAAAGATACTATAACCTTATCCGACAATTTGGAGATCTAGTCATCTACCAGAGTATAGACGACGACCACGGACTATTATAGACAACCTCGTGGAAACACCAGCAGGCTCATAACTTGTAGGTGATGAATTACAAGTTCAGGCGATGTTGTAACTATGTATTCATGCGATGATACTCTAACCCCTTACTATGAATTACGAGTTCAGGCGATGTTGTAACTACGTATTCATGCGATGATACCCTAACCCTTGTTGGGTAGGTATTAAGGGAGTAATCCCTGAATCAATACTGTCTATGCGATGTAGGCGATGATCCTTAGGGAGAGTTCTTAGGAACAAACATATAAGGAAATGCGATGTAAGGAGATGAGATGTAAATATGATGTAAGAGACGAACCTTAGGATAAATCCGTAGGGAAGGTACTTAGGAATAAAGAAGATAGCGGGGATGGGTAATTGGGTTAATTATTTGATGATTAAACTTAATAATTATATTATTGTGGGTAGAAATCCTATGTACTCACCAGGTTTCCCAACCTGACCCACTCAGTTTACTTGTATCACTGGTGACAATGTGAAATTACATTGCACTGAGAGATTAAGGAGATATAGATCACTAGTGTAAGTGAATGTAAGTTCTGTTTATTCTTATGTTTCTATATTGAGAATGACATCCTAAATGTTTTAAAAGGAATACAAATATATTTCTTTGGAAATGCTTAGATAATAAAATTATCATGTTTTTCTGGGAACAAATTCCGCAACGTTTTTTTATTGAAAGAGATACTCTAATTTTTATAAAGCATAAACAAAATCGGTCTTTTCTGGCCGTGAAAATGGGGATGTCACACAAGGGGTGGCCTTTGACTTGGCAAGAAAGACCACGTTGCGCCCTATGGCATAACGACAAAACTATATGTAGCACATAACAACTTACTTGATATATGATTAAAATGTATGACTCAGTTGATATGTATGGTATGTGGTATCTGGGGATCTCACTAAGCTTCGTGCTTATGGTGTACAATTTTGATTTCAAGTACCTCCAGTTTTCAGATCAAGAGCTCGGGACTATCGCAGTACATCCACCCATTTTTTTACGGATTATGTGATCTTTGAGATTTTACTCTGATATTAGTTTAAACTAAAATTTTTTCAATGTTTGGAACAAGGTTGTTAAATTGTTTTTAGTAAACCATTTTATAACTTATTAAATCAAAGTTGTAATTTTTGGTCTTGGATTTTGGGATGTTACAACCTTAATAGTAACAAAAATAACAATTGGATGCATGTTGCAAATAGTGGGTGTACAAATTTTAGTGTACCAAAATACCAAAAAAACAAAGTTTACAAAAGTTGAAACCTATACCATTCCCACTACACCTCATCCCCCTTCTTCCTAACAAACTACTCCAAGTTGATTGTGTTTATATAAGAAGAACCACCACCATATTTGTCATAGACATCATTCCTTAACTTTGTCTTGGTAATCCTCTCAGATGTTTTCCGTATTCTCCTAACCATTGGGATAACCTCTTGTCCTTCATCATCACCCTGATTTCCCTCATCATCACCCATTTCATCAACACCACCTTCAGGTCCATCACCATCACCTTCAGGTCCATCACTATCATCAACATCTCCAGCACCATGACCTTCTTCATCACTATCACAAGAAACTTCATCTCCAACACCATTACCTTCTCCATCACCATCACCATGACCAACAACTTCATCTCCAACACCTTCAACTCCACCATCCAGACCAACGTCATCATCATCAAAATGGTGATCATCAATGAAATCATTTACACCTTAGTGTAAAAAACATAGAATTAGGTTACAACAATGACCAGAAAAATTGTTTATTAATAAAAGATAATAGGTCTTACCAGTTCAACTGGTGGGGAATCATCCAATTCCACTTGTACACCTGCCATAGCTTTTATTTCTGCCATGCTACAACCAGCTTCTAGCATATTATCAATGTCTAAAAGTCCTAATTGTATATTCTCTGGGAGAATATTCTCCTCTCTGCCCTCAATAAAATCAATTACTTCGTTATCTTCCACCGCATTGTCACCATTAAGTGGACTTAACTTTGTTTTATTGAAATTAACCCCTTATGTAAAATTGCATCATTACCTTGTTCAGTTTCATCATTTGTTGATTTAAGTTTCCAACGAATACTGGATCCTAATTGCCCAAAAGTGTTACTACCTTGCATCACACTTGTTTGACAAGTACCTCCTTCTTGCATCATATGAACATCCTGAATATGAATTACTAGAACTTCCTGTACCACACCTTATTCTTCAATAGTAGGAACTTCTTCAATTGGAACTTGTCGAACCACACTTTCACCTACATTATAACCTTATTGCATGACATTTTCAACCTCATCAGTAGCTAGAACTTGTTGAACCACACTCTCTTGAGTACCTATAGTTGGAGTATCATTCCCAGTTTTGGCAAAACCAATCCTCCTACCACCTCTACTTATGCACAACTACTTCCTAGGTACATCAATACTATTTCTCCTAACTCTTTTACAACCTGACTGTTACTTGCAAAAATATGTTGTTGATAGGGGAATTTGATGTTTTATTAGACTCATCCTCACTGTGTTATGTTCTCTTGGACTCCTCCTCACTATTGTGATAACCCGAAATTTCCATTCTGTACAAACTATATCACTTCAATAGAAGTTATAGCAGTCACAGTTAACTTTCAGAATTTTCGTGTAAGTTTGAGTAATTAAGGGTTTACACTTCAGGAAATATCAGGAGAGTGGGTGCACTAGGGTTTTGTGCAACACTGTTATTCCAACACTCTTTTTTATTAGAGATCATTTCAGGAATACAAATATTTTCTGCCAAAAATATCTCAGGACTATAAATAGAATTCTGAACCAAATTCATTCATTATTCACATTTCCAACTAGAGAAAGGCCATTTTCTCTCTCATGGATCTTCGGGTTTTTATACCAAAACGTGAGTAACTCTTTATAGTAATGTTAGAAAGCTTTATATGTGTACATACCATGATTTAGAAGGCTAAATCACTAGATTTAGGAGTTTACTCCCCAAGGTGTTCTTGGGCGGTAAACTCCCGAAACCGAACCTAGATTTTTCCTTGTGTTATGCTAATACCCTAGACTCATTTGTATATGTATTTAGGACAAGAAAATAATCAAGAAACACAAACACATGGGAGTTCACGGCCCAAGAGCAATCTTAGGCCGTAAACTCCATTGTAATGGACAAAAGGGAGTTTTTAAGACACCTAAAGCCTTAGACCTTTACATGGAATTGTTTCCCACTTAATTGAAGGACCAAAGCAAATCAAAATCATCTACCAAAGTGAGTTTATGGCCAAGATATGGTTCTTGGGCCGTAAACATGGAAGAAGGGCACCGAAGTGTGCCTAATGTCTTCATATGCTTGGAATAAAAGCCTAGAACCAATACCACTTGTGCATGAGACTTGAAATCATCCAAAAAACCCATACTTAAGAGTTTACGGCTGTAAACTATAAGGGGAATGGACTTAGGGCCATAAACTCCTAAATGGAGTGTTTCTAGGCCTTAAACCCTTCCAAGGACTTAACCACCAAGTTGGAATAATTCTAGGAATCATTTGGGACTTCAAAACACACCATACACCCTTGGTTGGGAGTTTACAACCGTAAACTCAAGAGTTTACAACTGTAAACTCCATGTGTGATGGTATATGGGGAGTAAACTCACATATAGGGTCCTTTGGAACCCTAAAACACAAGTGCCTTGTCCCACATTAGCTTAGATGCAATCCTTAGGGCCTAAAACACTTATATAAAGTGTTTAATTGTGTCTAGGATGTCTTAACATTATCAATTAGTGATTTAAGTCTAATTGAATGCATATATGTGTGATTATATGTTCATGAGGATCGTAGTGTGTGTACAAGTCCTCACTTGACACCTAGCAATCCTATACCGTTCAGTTCATCCCAATCACTAACTATAGGTGAGTTCATACCCCTAATCGATGTTTTAAATGATTTTAAATGCTTTAAAGGGGGGGGGGGAATACAAGTAGAAACAAACATGTTATTAAATCATTGATATGTATTTTATAACTGTGTTTGTCATTCAACAGATTTCACATACTACAAAATGTGATGCATGAAATGGTTTTAAACCTTAAAAACACATTATTATCAAATGTTTTACCTTTGAAATGTATATTAAAAATGACATCAAGTCATTGTTAATTATTGTTCAAAACCCATAAGATGTCTTACAAAACCATTTTTACATTCTTGAACTAAACTATGCATATACACTTATATTCTTATATATGTATTCATGTTATAGTTTACATCTTTCATTTTCTTCCCACACCCTTGAGTAGTAAGAGTGTATAAACCTACATGATCAACCAATTATAGTTCAGTAAATTATCATAGGGATAATTTGAAGATATCAAACATTACTCCTATTACAAGGAATCACACAAGAGTCAGTTCATTCATGAGTCTATACAAGTACATTACCTGATACATGAGTACATATACATATACTTACCTGTTACATGAGCACACTTACATGAATATCATACAGGAACATTGTTACATAGGTGCATTATCCTGTATTCACTTACCTGGATACTTGTACTTAGAACTACGAGGATAATTTATTAGTACTTTCTATGTAAATTATCTTTCCTATCCCGGTTCAATGGGATATCTAGGCAGGTCTTACCATTCTGAACCCCACTGATTAGCACCAGTGGTCGATGACCATCTATGGAGGTCTAAGGTTACTACTTATACTAGGAAGATCGATAACCGGGGCTAACCCCTCCACCCACCTGCTACTGCTACAGAGGACAAGTGGACAATCTTCGATTGTTCACAAGGTTATACTTTTCGCTTATTGCGATGTTGTGTTACTCCTAGTACCCAACGATGACACTTACATTATTAATTTTCTGGACAATCTTCGGATGTTCATTAGGTTGCATTTTTCGCTTAACGCGATGTTGTGTTGGTCCTAGTACCCAGTGACAACACTTACAGTAGTACATTTTCCTGTTTACTTTATTTTGTGATACTTTCACATAAACGATGAGTTTGACTAAATACTTTAGTACTAAACAATTAAAGGAAAAACTATCATTTTACTAACAAAACATTCGGGTCTTGGTAGAAGACTACATCTCACACTGATAGAAAATAAGGGATTTTCTAGGGTTTTTAATACTTACATCAACATTTACATTTAAAGGTTTGCATGACCTTTAAAACAGTTTTCAGTAAGCAAGACAATGACACTTAAATACTTATGAATTCACCCGCTTTAAAGCTGATACTCTCTTTCAAAATAACTTGTATTCTCAGGTCATCAGTAGACAGGTACGGAGGCCAGGTTTTGAGAAGACGGAGCGGACAAGTCTCGTCTTTTATTTTGATTGTATATTTTTGGTGTCTTACTACAATGAAGAACACACATGTATTAAAACTTTACTTATAATGCAATGGATGATGTTGTTGCTTGTTTATTATATTACACTATTGTGATACTGTACATGACGTCCTCCACCCCTGAACGTTTCCACCGTTCGTGGTTTTGGGGTGTGACGGATTGGTATCAGAGGTTTGTTTATAGTGAATATAGTATATCAACCCATAAAAGATATACTAACTATAAATGCACAAGGATTAAAACACTCTGTCTAAGAATTATACTTATAAATAATAAAATATTTAAGTAAGTATACGTGCCTGCATTCATACTAAAATTAGTGTCACAATGACAAGAATAAAAGTATTACGATTGTTGAATATCACAAGTAAGCCTGGGGATATATGGTCAGTCTTGGGAATGGCATAGCTTGATCAACTATGCTGGTCCGAGGAGTGATTAGCATATGCCCAAGAATGGTTGTGATGTGGCAACAAGTCTAAAAACTTACCAACACAACCATAAAGAAATACCACATGGGTATTTGATCTTACAAAAATTATCTTCGTTAGTTCGTCTATTTTAGCTATTTATTATATCCCTTTTCTCGCGTAGATTAAAATGGATGGATTTCACCATGGCGATCCGTACTTCCCAAACCAAGGCAATGCTGGTTGGCTAGAGGCAGAACCAGAAGATGATCACCCAATCCCTTTGGATGATCACCATGCTGAGGGCTTTTCTGATAGTTCTGACTCGGAGCCAAAAGTCAACAACCTACCCCCAAATGCTCAAAACCAAAACCTGAACCCCTGTCCTGTGTTTCAAGGACCCACACCCTTGTGGGCCATTAACTTGACTGAATGGAGTCAGGAACAAGGTCAGCCCATTCCCTACAATGGAGAACGAAGTTTCTACAACCTCACTGAAGGGGGTTCTGCTGATAGAGTCCTACCAATCATGGTGCGTAGGATTTCTTGGAACACGATCATGGCTCAGGCGACTATCAATCAAGTTTTGGAAGTTGACGCCACCTCTGGTGTTAACACTATCCACATTCGCCAACTAGAGTCTGCTCATGAAAGGACTCTGGTCCACAATGCAAATCTGCATGGGGAACTTGCTGAAACCCGAGCTGAAGTTAGAGAACTTCGAGCTCAGCAAGCAAGGTCGGACAGGCGTATAAGGGACATTGAACGTCAACTATCGGGATCGAGGACTCATGCAAGCAGCTCTCGTCGCCGATAGAAGCTCGTCGACTCATCTTTTTGATATAACCTAGTTTATGTAAAACTTTGGTCTAATTTCCTATCTGTATAAATCTTAGACCTGTTAGGTCTCGATCTAGTCTTGATTCTATCAAAATTTTCCATCTTGGTTGATGTAGGGCCTACTTCTAGGCCATTTTTCCCGAACTTGTTACATCTGTAATTCCAGTATTATTGACAAATATCTAATCTTATGGAAATTATTATCCAACTACTGTTATTTTCAATTAGTCATTCTATTCATTCTGTTGTTGGACTATGGGGAGTTAGTCCATGAGACACATTCATAAATCATGTATTCTTATCCATGTCGTCATCTTTTAAACGTATAGTTAAAGATGCCGCCACGCAGAAGTACAAGGCGTAACCCAAACAATGAAACACCGATACCACCGCCTCCACCACCACCACAACCTCAACCTCCTCTACCACCTAACCCCTTTGATGCCAACATGTTCCAGGCAGCTTTCACAGCAGCAGTTGCAGCTGCTGTGTCAGCAATCAACACTCCTGTCCCTAGTGGATCGAGAACAGGTGCACCTCCCTCGAA